GTGAGTTTTCCAAGCTGCTGTATCTTCATAATCATCATTACTCATCCAACTTTTTCCAAATCCTCTGCACTATCATCAGATTGATACCCAAACACTCTGAAATGTTTGTATTGGAGCATCCAGTGCAAATGCCAAGCAGTACAGCATGCTGTTTCCAAATTTCTGGCAAAATGAATTGTGTCATGGTGCTTCATGGTAGCTGACCCTCCAAAAATTACTCTATAGCTCCCTACCCACCTTCGAGTCACTCAGCAGTGTCCATGTGTTCCACACAGATGGTGCCCAACTGACCCTACTATACAGTGTATTTGACAAAATCAAAAACAAACAACACGCATGCACCAAATTAAAAATAAAAATTGGCTACAATTTACCTTGTATATACAATATAATATATATACTCAGTTCAATACATACATACATATATATATATATATATATATATATGATTAATACAAGTAAAGAGGTTGTCACTTCACTGAGTGATGTCACCTTCAGCACCCCAACTCCAGACTTTTGTAGACTGACCCTCCAAAAATTACTCCATCCACTCATCAGAGGATATCACCAATTGACTGCTTATACATCACAGTTTTTTCTTTTTTATATGCACTTACCATCAGTGCAAGTTTTGTTTATTTTCCATAGTATATGTGTCCTTGCATTTGCTAATGCAGCCAGCTGTGCATATGTGCGTACATCTAGAATGGTGTGGTTATTTTTCCTTTTATATATATATATATATATATACATATATTTAAACATTTGTAATGCCCATTTGTAGGAGAGACTTTATAAATCACAGATACAATAATAGTAACGCCTTCAAACAATACTCAGTCAGACACTGCTAATTCACATATATACATTTTCCCTTTACCCATCATGTGATCTAATTATTTCAAGATGAGGTCGACTGTGCTTGCACTCTGGAAATCCATGTTCAAACTCAAGTTTCAGCAGTGACACTTTATTCATATATGACACAAATATATATTGTTAAATATAACAGACAACAAATGTCTACATTGTTTGATCATGAGCCATTCTAAACTTTGTATAGTTGCTTTAATTTAAGGAGAAAATAAAGACAAAGATGATATTCTGTTATATTGCCATAGAAGATTGCTATGCAATGATAACGATAATAGGATAGCAGGCACAGGTTGTCATGATGATATTCTATGACATTGTACCACATAAGAGAATAGAATATTAACAATAAAACCATATGTCTGGATGCAATCTTCTATGTCAATATAACAGAATATCATCTTTGATGATGAATATCTTTGTTTAAATCTCCTTCTAGCCACTCTGAAGATGGGTCATGTGAGCCAAAAGCTTAGATCAAGAAACGGTATAATAAAAAAATATCCAAGTGTTGGACAGTTTTTGTCTTTATTTTGTCCCGAAATTAAAGCAACTATATGAAGTTTAAAACGGTACATGATCAAACATAAGACATTCATTGTCTGTTATATTTAGCAATATATGTTTGAATAATGATCTATATATATATATATATATATATATATATATATATATATATATATATAAATAAAGAAAAAGAACAGTAAGATATATAATCCGGTGTTCTTATAGATATTTTTATTTTTACAAAATAGTGCTCAATGTAAATTTACAGAGCATAAATATTATAAATTGATTTCAAATATGGTTTTTCCGCTACACAGTTCTAACTATGTTTCAAAAATGGAAGGTCTGAATTTAATTTTGTAATTAAATTAAAGACATTAGTTCCATTTCATCCTCAAGCAAATTTTGGAGTAACTTTTAAAATTACTGGGTTTTAAAGACACAGCTAAAATCATAATTCACGTTTCCAAGGTTACAGATAAATTCACTTCCACTTCCATATATATATATATATATATATATATATATATATATATATATCAGATTGATTAATTGCTGTTTGTTTTTTATGGCTTATCAAATCATAGTGATTTATTTGACTCTGGAACTTTATTATGGGAGGATGCTTAGAGTATCCAGTGGAACCTATCAAATTACTGTATAGGCTTGATGCTGTTTAACGTCAGTGATCAAATGAGAGCTGGTGTTTTCAATGTAAGCCTCTACTCAAGCAGTTCACAACTCATTGATTAGGCAGCATTTGTTGGATAATCCTGATTGTGCTGCCAAGTATGAGGACAAATTCTTTTCCATTCTACATAGTGCTCCATTGGTATACCATCTTTGAGTCCTCAAGGCTTTGTATATCAAATTCTACCAGCCAAGCCTATGTAAACAAAAGGAGCATTTTATATGTTCATTACAGTTAATTGAAGGTCAAAATTTGCCTGTCTCCCTGCAAGAACAACAATTGAGTGACCATCATTCAAATTCAGAAGTGACTGCTACACACCAAAAGTCAAAAAACCTGCATCTACACAGCATTGGACAATAAAACAAGACTTTTAAGAATTCTTCACAGCCGGAAAACCACCCTGTAAATTCTTGGAGATTATTAATTTGTCTTGATTGTGTTTGTATATCGCCAATGAATACCTTTTGAAAAAGAATTGGTCAAAAGTATCCTAAAAATATATATAAAAAAAAATGACGTTTATTTTGTTCAAATCTGTTTTATTTCTGTGGGTACATATATATATATATATATATATATATATATATATATATATATATATATATAAGTGAACATTGAAGACAACAATCAGAGGTGACAAACTGTTTCATGCTGGATGCAATCAGTGACCTGATGATTGCATCCAGCATGAAACAATGGAGATTGTGTTCTTATTTGAAGAAACAAAGGTTACTTAGGAGTATGCTTGTCAGTAGATAGGTAGGTTATTAATATGTAGTGAGTTAAGCTGTAGAAATCTTACTGAGCCTTCCTAGCAACTTTTTTTAAAAAATGCACATCTCTCGGTGGGATCTATAAAGCTTGCATTTATTAAATATATCTGTTTGCATTGCTGTGAGGTCTTTCATAACAGTAATCTAGAGCACACCTAACTTTCCCGATATAGGGTGGATGTAGTCTCAATTTACTCCCTGCCAAAAGGTGCATTTTCTTTATTAAAACTTTCAATTGTTCAATCTGGTATATGTTACACTGTTTACAAAATGGGATTGTCTAATCAAACATATGTGGCATCCTGGATAAGATGTTAAACTACATCCGCATCCTGGGTAAGACGTTAAACTACGTCCAGCAGCAAGGCCTCTGATCAGGAGGTTTTGAGGAGCGTGGAACCACCTCTTAATTGCTGATGTTCCAAGGTCCACCCTGACCTGGTGTGGCAGCACCTGTTAGGGTCCCAGCTATGGGCAAATAGTTAACTATTACCAGCAATATTTTTTTGAAAATATTATTACCAGCAATACAGTTTTGAAGGAAATATATTACCAGAAACAGATTTTTGACAAAACAAAATTTTACCAGCAATAAAAATTTGTCAGCATTAAATAACCCATAGAGGTTGATATACCGTAAAACAAAATAAACTAAACCAATCTAAACCAAAGAATACATATTCTATTCATACATATCTATCCTAAAAATGATGTCAGCATTAAATAACCCATTGAGGTTGATATGCCGTTAAACAAAATAAACCAAACCAATCTAAATCAAAGAATACATACTCTATTCATACAAATCTATCCTAAAAATGTTGTCGGCATTAAATAACCCATTGAGGTTGATATGCCATAAAACAAAATAAACCAAACCAATCTAAACCAAAGAATACATACTCTATTCATACAAATCTATCCTAAAAATGTTGTCGGCATTAAATAACCAATTGCGGTTGATATGCCGTTACACAAACCAAACCAAACCAAAAATATTTGCATTGATTTCTTATATATATAAAGAATTCTGTCAACTTTCAGTAGGTAAAGACTAAAGAGCAACTGTCTTGTTTCTGATCAAATTCCAATTTAATGTTTTGATTCTCGACATGGGGAGTTTTCAGTTGGTTAAAATTTGATGGTAAAGACATCTTGATTAATTTTTGTTATAAAAATACTCTTATAAATTATACATCAGAAAATACACATATAAAATCTTCATAAGGAAATACACATATAAAATCTTCATGAGGAAATACACTTATAAAATGTACATCAGAAAATACACCTACAAAATCTTCATAAGGAAATACACTTATAGAATCTGCATCAGAAAATACACTTATAGAATCTACATAGGAAAATACACTTATAGAACCTACATAGGAAAATACACTTATAAAATCTTCATTGGAAAGTACTCTATGCTTTAGTTACAATCATGTAACAATTTGTATAAGCACTTTGACATGATGCAATGATTAGCAAGCTTGTCTCACTAGATAAATTTTGACTGAATAGTGAGTTTGATCCTCACTGGGTGCTCCATTATTCAGCCTTGTGCAACATCTAAGCTACATTTAATAAATCACCATCTAACATTCTGCATCTATATTCTCTCCAGATGTTCTCATGTTAATCTACTAAGCTTTCCTTTGTATAGCACAAGATCTCATTCCAGTTGTCCATATGTACATGTCTCCATAACATTAATGCTATAACTGCCCAAATGCAACCATCTTTTATCATATAGAAAAACGTCTATAGAATCCATTCCTTAAAATAGCAGGTGATGACAGTTTCTAACATTATTTAAACACCATTTTTGTAACTTCATTTTTTTTTCTTGCTCTATCACAACAAGCCTGTTTTTTCTCTGGCCATAGTGTCAGCAACCTCTTTTTTTTTCTGGTTTCTGTTTTGGCAACCCCCCATTTTTTTTCTCTGGCTCCTGTGTTGGCAACCTCTCTTTTGTCTCTGACCCCTGTGTTCACAACCTCTCTTTTGTCTCTGACCCCTGTGTTCACAACCGCTCTTTTGTCTCTGGCCTCTGTGTCAGCAACCTCTAATTTTTTCTAGCTCCTGTGTTGGCAACATCTATTTTATCTCTGGCCCCTCTGTCAGTAACCTCTCTTCTTTTTTTGCTCCCTATGCTGGCAACCTCTCTTTTCCTCCGTCTCATATTAGTGACTCCTCTTCTAGCCTCCCCCCACCCCTGCTGCTATGTTTGTGATCTCTCTTTTCATCAGGTTTCCCTCCTCTCATGTTGGCAACCTCTCTTTTCTTTGCCTCTATCCATATCAGTGACCTCACTTTTCCTCTGGCTTCCCCGCTAGTCATGTCTGCAAACTTTCTTTTGCACCCATTTCAACCATGCCAGTGACCTGACCTCCTCTCTTTCCCTCTGGCTCTTGTAACAGCAAGCCTGCATCTTTCCAGCTTTGTTATTCTCCCTCTCTACTAATTTTTCCTTCTCCTAGCCAAGTTCCCCCCAACCACATCTTATTTTTATTGATTTTGTAGCATATCTTCATCACTTTTGTCTCAGTAATCTCAAAAGCTAGGAATATGGGGAGGGTGTGATTAATCATAGAACCAAACCCACATGTTACAACTAATTCATTTTTATTTCACCACTTTACTCTTTTGGGATTTAACACTTGCAGTATTTCAAATGGAACACATTTGGTTATCTTAACCAAACAATGAAACTCAGTTTGATGAACAATACGACTGATTAAGTTTCATTTTTGGTTTGTTTTTCTAATTCCTCTTTCACTTTCACTTTCACAAGTTCTGTATATTAAAATAACATCAGACAGTAGGACACCATGCATGAGATCCACATGAAAGACAAAATCTCTCATGTTTATTTAATAAGCAAACTTGAATTTTCACAGTAATATTTGAGATTTGAACCTCTCAAAATGTCAGTTAGTTTTCTTATCTCCTATACTAAATTTATTATAACTGATCCATGCACAAAGAAATTTGGAGTGTTTAGAATTTCATGATGGATTCAGGCTAGGTGCTGTCACTAATCTCATTCCAATTCCTAATAATAATTTATGTTTTGGAAAGGTTGAAAAATTTGCTATGTTGATTTTTATACAGATTATGAACACCTATGTCATCAGCATTGTAGCTGATTTATACTATAGAATTGAATTATAGGTGATTTTTACTGTAGTAATGCATTGTAGGTGATTTTTATTATAAAAATGTCTTGTGGGTGGTTTTACTATAGTAATGCATTGTAGATGATTTTTACTATAGATTTGCATTGTAGATTATTTTTACTATAGAAATATGTTGCAGGTTATTTTTAATATACAGGGTGCAATGGGTAAATTGTTGCCATTTTATACTTCTAATTTCTTGCATGTGCATTGTTTGTTTTTGATTTTATCAACTGCTCAGTATAATATGGTCAGTTGGGCACCATCTGTGAGAAAAAGAGCACCATGATGCAATTCACTCTGACAGAAATTTGGAAACGGCATGCTGTACTGCTTGGCATTTGTGCCAGAAGCTCCAATACAAACCGAGTGTTTGGGTGTTAATCTGAGAAAAGTGCAGTGGATTTGGAAAGAGTTGGATGAGTCTAATTGTTGGAAAAATGTCTTTGATCTTTTCTGATAAGAAAAGAACTACCAAATTTGTTGTTGAGAGCCTCAGACTCAACACAAAGACCTACATCAAGTGCCTTGAGATGATAGTTCTGCACTAGGTCAAGAGGGTGGCTGCTGGAAGACCCTATATCTGACAATAGGACTCTGCCCCATTCCACACAAACAGGAGAACTCAGTCATGCCTGTCAGACAATTTCTGTGACCACATCACCCCTTACATCTGGCTACCTAACTCCCCAAACTTCAACCCCCTTGATTATTATGGGTGGGGTACAGTTGAGCAAGAGACCAGCAGATGAACTGAAGGCAAGGATTATGGCAGTATTCACTAACTTAAACAAGGAGACTGTCTAGAAGAGATGCAGGAGATTCCAAAGTCATCTGGAGGCCGTAGTTGAAGCCAATGGCAAATTTATTAATTAAATTTACTCTTTAGTATTTCAAGATACTTTTGTGTAATTTTGGTAAATATATCTGTTAAAATGAGATGTTGTGTTATTTTCATTTTTGTGTAATTTATAATGACAATTCATCCATTGCCCATTGTAGATTTGCATTATAGAAAAAATTTTTACAATAGAAATGCATTGTAGATTATTTTACTATACAAATGCATGGTGAATTTACTGTTAAAAGACACTGCAGATTGGGAAGAAAAGAATTTTAAAAGTAGAAATTAATATAAGCATCACTTACAGAATAAGGCTCTTAGTTGTGTAATGTAAATGAATTGCAAATGATTTTACCATAGAAATGCATTGAAAATCAAGAAGAAATGCAAGTATTATTTACAGAATATGGTTATTATATGTGTCAGAAATGAACACAGTAATATTGAAAAAGACCTTGCAACAGAAAGGTTTTTAAAATGAAAAAGGAGTATATTTTTAGTGATGTGGTGAAGAAAAGGATGAATAATCAGTTCTTACACTGCATGATTGAAAATTTATTGAAGCATGTGTAATCATTATGTGAAAAGGAAGAATAAGAGGAGAGGGGTGTTTCAAATGTCTTATACCTCTTCTTATAAGCATGTTATGGAATTTACCTCTTTTGGTGATACGAGAGGTGTTGAACCTTTTTCAGTAAATATTTAATAGCTCATGGAACATTTGTCATGCAAACAGTATTTGCAGGCTCATGTGAGTCTGGGTAAAAATTAGAAAACCACTAAACATGGATTTTCAAATAAATAACAATTGAATGCAAATTATTAACAAAAGTAACTACAGGTAGACACAATTGAAAGTAAAGGAAAAGATATTAAAAACTATTCTATTAAAAATGTGCTTAATTGTATGTGTGGGTGTGTGTATGATACGATAGGATGTTATTGCACTCAATTTGTAAGTTGGGGTTTGACATGATAAATAATGATACTAAATATTTTTTCACAAATTGTTACCATTTTTTGAGGGAATGAGTTTAAAGATTAAGCTTAGGTTCAAAATAGTAGTGTTGGAATTTCATTCCCATGATCAGTGAAAGCCTTATAAAATTTATAATTGTTATAGAGTAGTTTCACAGTGGAGGCTTGTATTTCACTAAGTCATTCCTAAAATAGGTTTGACATACAAAATGTTAGGAACTTGATATAATAGGTAATGACGCAGAGAAATCTAGTGGTGGTCGCTGATACTTCTAGTATCCGACTAACAGTCGTCCAACATCGACTGACTGACCAACTCACTGAGCGACTGCTACTACTCCTACTTATTATAGGTGGGAGAGTTTATTAACAATAGAATAGGTGTTTCACTATAACAATAATTGACTGAAGCTTTACGAATTTTATATGGACATGATGCATGGCACAAGTACATTATTAATAAATCATCATGCCATCAAATTTACTTCTAATGGATATTATACTGAATGATTTAGCTATATTATTGTTGAAACTTGGATAAGCATGGAATAATAATAATACAACACAAAATGTACGTAACAAAATATATTGAAACAAGGAAAAGGTACACAATATTTACAGTTAGTTTTGGTATATTCTTGGGAAGACTGTTCCTGCAGAATGGGTTGACTAAATAGCAGTCGGGCAGAGTCTCTCGATTCGATCTCTTCTTCCTTTTCCCCGTCTTCCGGTACCAACCCATATTTATATGGTCGGTACTCCACTTATGTAAATTAGGTGTATCGTACCACAACAATTATGATGTCATATATTATATAGTGCAGTAGTTTTAGTTTGATTTTCAATAAACAATATAAATTTAAACATTTTGTCTTATAATTTATGCCCAACAGTATTATGGTATCATATACACTTCTATCTATTTTTTGTCTTTATTAATTATGATCTAACAAATCTTATTCATAGAGTAGCCTTTTTTGTAATCTTTGACAATTTTTTACACAGTTTTTACTTATCAAATACAGTAAAAAATTGCATGTTTTACTTGTGATGACTTGTAATTTAGAATTTTGGTTTTAATATATTTTCCATTCAATGTACCTAATACAAAAGATATTGACTTTATTTGCATTTGTTCTTGAAATAGTAAAATTTTGAAGTCAGTTTATAAGCAAAAAAAATGTGGAAATTTAAGTATTTTCGTACAGTTTTTCAGATATTTAAAAAATTAGTGAAAACAATAAATTTAATTTTTGGTATCAGTGGTTATCACATCAAACCCCAGCTTTCACATCAAGTGCAATGTTGATTTTCTAAAAAAGTGAAAACTCAACCTGTCCTAGTGATGCAAGAACATGTGATACACACGATTGCCTAAATGTGTTTGTGTCTGAGTTCAATAGTCAGTTGACCAAGGAAACAAATGAACTCTGGGCACCAATATTCTTTGTATATGCATGACAACTTCTGGAAGCAAGAGGGAAAAAGAGAGTAAGAAAATGCTTGACATTTTATAGACTTAAAAAGTGTTGCCCAACAGTGACTGGCAAAGACAAGTGGGGTAATCTACATGCAAATTTACTGTTACTAATGAAAATGACAAGATTGTTACTCAAATTGAAATTTATAAGAAACAAACATTTAGTATCTGTCTATATTTCTGAGATGAGGTATTATGTACACTATTTACATTATTTGGATTACTGTCCTCATCTTGTTGCCATATTTATTACGTTTCGGCCAATGTAAACACCAGCCTTCTTCAGGTGGTTGGAATGTCGAACTGAACCCTTTATTTTGCTTGCTGGGGTAAACAGTTCTAGTTTCACATGGCATGTCTAATGGATGTCAGTTATCCGTTATCTCCTGTTAATTCCTCTTTTTCTTAAGAACACATAGCACAGTAGTTAAGGTGTTGGTTAGATCCAGTGAGAGGACCCAAAGAGTTGTGAGTTCAATACATAGTTAAAGCAGTTAATAACTGACATCCATTAGACATGGTACATGTAACTAGAACACTCTACCCCAGCAAGCACGATAAAGGTTTCAGTTCAACATTCCAACTGTCTGAAGAAGTCCGGAGCGTACATTGGAAGAAACGTTGTGATAAGAAAGATGAGAACAATAGTCCGAATAATGTAAATAGTGAACAAACATTTAATAGAATGATAATTCTTTTTTTTTACAATATACAAGTTGTACAAAATACAATGTAGGTTTTGCACAAAATTCCCCTTGTGTCACTCATAGCCACCCATCACTTTTTTCTGCATCTCTCTTGGCCACCTCACTGTTCTTTTTTGAGTCTCTTTTGGCTGCACACTCTCTTGGTCAGCATACCACTCTTGTACATCTCTTTCTTGGCCACCATGCCTCTCTTGGTCACCACATTGTTCTTGTCCATATCTGTCTTGGCCACCACGTTGTTCTTGTCCATATCTGTCTTGGCCACCACATTGTTCTTGTCCATATCTCTCTTGGCCACCACATTGTTCTTGTCCATATCTCTCTTGGCCATCATGCCAGTCTTGTCCATATCTCTCTTGGCCACCACATTGTTCTTGTCCATATCTCTCTTGGCCATCATGCCAGTCTTGTCCATATCTCCCTTGGCCACCACATTGTTCTTGTTCATATCTCTCTTGGCCACCACATTGTTCTTGTCCATATCTCTCTTGGCCACCACATTGTTCTTGTCCATATCTCTCTTGGCCACCACATTGTTCTTGTCCATATCTGTCTTGGCTACCATGCCAGTCTTGTCCATATCTCTCTCAGCCACAACGTCATTCTTGTCCATATCTGTCTTGATGACCAGGCCGCTCTTGCCTGTGTCTCTCTAAGCCCCCATGGTGTTCTTGTCTGTATTTCTCATCATGTTGTTCTTGTGTGCATCTCTCTTGGTCACCATGTCACTCTTGTCCGTATCTGTCTTAGCCACCACATTGCTCTTGTCTGTGTTTCTCTCAGCCACCCATTTTGTATCCTTCTTGGCCACCCCTTGCACTTTACTGGCTCTCCCTCATTGACTTTCTTCACTCCCTCATACAACTTCACTTTCTACTCTCTCCCTTTTTATCGTTTTTTTTTTTTTTTGCTCTTTTTCTGTGTGTTAATGAATTATTTTCTTGCTAATTTCTTTTCCTTCCTTTGGTTTCTTTTACAATAACAAATTCTCATATGTCATTTTATTTCTCATTTTTTCAATGAAATACAAGAAAAAATGTCTGACAATGATAACGTCGGTTTTCCTTACTTGTTCTTTTTCTTGGCCAAACAGATGGCAGCAAACGCCAAGTTTTTTTTTTTATTACAAACACAATTTTGTCATATGCAACATTAATAATCTGTGAAAAAGATAAATGGAACAGTTATAAAAAAAGCAAACAATAGTGTGAATTTTTCTTTTCTTTTAATCCCATTCTTGTGACATTTTTTTCTTTCCGCTTCAATAAAAAGAACAATATAGACTAAAACCCGTGTTCATATGTATCTATTAAATATTTTATGAGGAATACAACATTGGTGTCTATTGATACTTGTTAAACAAAACAAACATTTGTTCATGCCGTATCAGTACAAACTTTGCCACAAGCCAGATTTTATGGAACCCCCAATGAGGAATCAAACATGATGAATTATAAAATAAATGTGCACATTCTCATTCTATGGTAGATTATATGTCTCTAATATTTGAAATCTGTCTAGAATACACAATTGTTTTCAGTGGTTTTGTGTGTGTATAAATAGATATTTATATTACCTGGGTATTACAGAATTTAGAAGCATATAAGTGAGAGGTAGTGAATAGAGAGGATGGAGAGAAAATTACATATGCTAACTATGCACTGCTACCAAAAGTGCTCAACCTGTGAAACGTAGCCTAGATACCAGAAGCAAATGAAAGTGGTCATTGTCTTTTTTTTCTAAGCATTTCACCCCAAGCAAGGCGGGAATCCACTAGCATGCAAGGGGTTATAGAGAGTTGGAGCAAAAGCAAAGAGGAGTGATAGAGGAAAGGATGGAGAGAAGGATAGGGGATAGATCAAGGCATCTGGAGATGACGATTGACATTATATTTGAATAGTTGTAGATTATAACTATCAGGGAAAAAGGAGAAGGAGTTCCACAGGCGAGAGGTGTGAGACATGAAACTATTCCTGTAGAAGAGATGGCTACATTTAAGAGTTTTGACAGTGAAAGGGTGAGAACGAGATGCCAGCCTACTGAAAAACCCTTTTCAAGAGGATTGATTTCACAAGCGCAGAGTCTTTGGAGTAATGGATTAAATGTGTGCCACAATGCAATACTTAATGAAATTGTACTCAAAAACTATGAAAGTCACTAGTTGCATTTTGGAACTTGCCATTGCTTGGTCAATGAGCTCCAAAAATATATTGCATTATTGGTTTTCAAACAGTGCAATCTGCCGGAAGAGGATAGCATGTGAGGTGGAATGATTGAAAGATAATCAAAGATTTAGAAACAATTTTAAAAATTCGTATGCCAAAAATAAATATGATTTCAAAATTTAAAATATTATTATGGATTACTTGTAATTGCATGCACGAGTTCTAGTATAAACAGTTATAAATAATTATTGAATGATTTTATCATTGTGATATTTTTGCATTATATCAAGTATTAAGAACATAAGAACTAAGGTTCACAAATTGGAGGAGAGAGTTATCAATGATAATTTTCTCACTTAAAATTCGTGGTTATCTCCCTCTAATCTTCTCACTATTTTGTTTTATTTGTAAATGTACTTTTTATCACATAAAATTTGGGGAGGTGTAAGCAAATTTTAATTCCAAAAATACGGCCCAGAGAAAAAAAAAATCGGGAACAACTGCATTACATAATGTCAGTGGTTATAATCCAAAATCCTTCGGCATTGATAAACTCAACACTCCACAAAGATTTCCTGAGCCAACCAACCATAGAAATGAATACAATATGGGAACCAGAAATATGGAGAGCTAGAGAAAAGCAATAATAACAACAAAATTGCAATATGAACTATGGTAAAAAAATGTAACTGAAACATTAATTTTATAACTCCCAAAAATTCATGCACTGATGTCCTCAAGGATACATGGCCCAGTGGATAAAAGCGTTGGTTGGATCCAGTGACTTGACCCAAAGAGTTAAGACTTCAATGCCTGGCTACAGCAGAGGTGAACAAAAAAAAGTTGGAGAGTTGAGTTAAAGGGAGATAACTGAGACATCCAGAACAGGCATGGCACGGAACTAGGATGAAGAAGAAAAGACTGAACTCATCCAAAACAGCCAGAAATTTGCAGGAGCAAAGCCTATTTAGTTGTGACTGAAAAGTATCAAAAATCAGGGAGTCTCCATGCATAACTTCTGTAAAAAAAAAAAAAAAAAAATGAAAAAGACAGTGGTGGGCTTTAACCATCAAACATGAATATATTTGCAAATGGGTGTAGGGAGATCACTTTCTCTATATTATCAGAAATACTATCTAGCATTCAACAGTCTTGAGAGGAAGGGGAATGGTAGAGAAAGAAGAGATAGCTGACTGACTTAAGTAGAGAGAGACGGAGACACATGTAAGAATAGTCTGGAGATTCAAGAGAGAGTTCCCTAGCCAGGGGAAGATATTCACGGACAAAAACTCCCAGGGGATTGAAGAGTTCAGATTAGTTTCTCAGAGAGTCGAAAATTCAGAGCATTATCAAGAAGTCCATGTTAAGAATGAATTAAGGACTGGCAGAAAATGGTTAATGAATAGGGCAAATTACCTATCAGTGTGTATATAATGATCTTGTAAGAAACTATCAAAAATTATTAAAGGCAATAATCAAGAATAAAGGTTACACAATTGATTATTTAGGCAAGTGGGAAAATAATTTTGTCCTATGTTAAATGGTTTTGGTAATGTTTGTATTATGGTTTGACATTAAAATAAACATTTTGTTGTAGGCATCACAGGACATTGTTTGGAATCCATTATTTTATCATTTGTGAAAATATACACAAGAAGTTTCCAAGAAAATTTGAGGTATTGCATCTTTATTTGTAATTATGAAAGTGTGGAGACGAATAATTCTGTCCACAACTTTGTGTGTGTATATATATATATATATATATATATATATATATATATATATATATATATATATATATATATACCATAAATACTGAAGTACAGTGCAAGTTTTTATATATGGTATTATATACAGAACAATATAGCATGATTACAGGAAAAACCATGTGACCAACAAGGGACATGTCACTTGGTGCTGATATATATTTTTTTTTCAAATGGACAAGTAAACAGTTTCTTTTCCTTCTAATTATGCATTCAGATATTTTAAAATGAGTATCCTTGTTCAGCATTTTTCTCTCTCCATTCTGCATCTAAATTAAATGAGGACGGCTATCAACCATAGAACATTGACCATTTTTCTTTCTTATTACAAATTAGGATAAGTTACCATATATACTTGAGTACAATGTGAGATTTATGGTCATTTTTTACTAAAAAATTACAGGTAATTTTTTTTTTTCGAAGAGGCTAAAAGTCTTGCATTTTTGATTACCAGTTACATTTTATACATATTTTTTTTTTTCAGTGTTTGCACTATACCTGAAGTTGCCTTATACACCAGTACATAAATCCATCTCTCTCTCTCTCTCTCTCTCTCTATATATATATATATATATATAGAACATATATTCCATTGTTCCTGGTGTTTATAATATATATATATATATATATATATATACACACATAAGTGCATATATGTATATATTTGTGTATGTGTGTGTGCATTTATGTGTGTGTGTATATATATATATATATATATATATATATATATACTTTTGTAGTGGAACTTGAAGTTTCATCATTGAGCTTTGAATATGAGTATAATTTAGCATTCCTCTCGTGAGACACAGTATTTTTTAAATAATTATAATTAACGGTTCATTTGCCATATGTGCGTGATGACTTGTGAAACAATGAAACTTGAAGTTGCACTAAAAACTTAGGTATATTTGTATTTATTAATATATACTTCATAGCTCTGTTTTACTACATTGTGCAATGTTTTCTTTGCATTATAAATTAAATAAATATTTATTTTCTTATCTGCAAATGCAGACTATCACACACATATACAGTTGCGGATATTGTTATTTAGTTTATATTCACAATTATATCTGATATATATATATATATATATATATATATATATATATATATAAGCAAACCTTTCATCTACAGTTTTCCCCCATCAATGGACTTTGGATGCAATGGACAAAATCTGCAGAAAAAATTTTTTAAAAGTTATGCAGGAAAAAAACTTGCAAATCATCAGCGATGTATTTCAATATTTGCAGGCTTAGTTGAATGAGTCGTATCAGTTCTCAAAGTGTCCACTTGGCAGTGATTGCGGGCCTTTAAATTGTAAACATAGACAGGTGTACAGTATATAAAGTACTAGCAGTAGAGCCCGGCGTTGCCTGGGAATGTAACAGTAAGAGATAGATCAAGTATCGACCATCATAAAGACTGAAAAATAAAAATTGACAAAGATTATTGTTTAAGGTTGACGAACACACATGTCTTAATTAGTTTTTTTTTTTTTTACGAATTGATCAAACCCAAACAAAAACATTCATTTCAATCATTATGAGTCTACCAATTGAATAGAATTTTATTATAAACAATTGTCTTGTAAATGGAATTTTTCAAGCATTCTGAATGTAAAAATAAAGAAAAAAGTGTGCAAGACAATAAGAAACACTACCTGCCAAAAAAAAAAGTGTAGTTTTGTTGAAATCGGTTGAAAAATGTAGGAAATCCGATCCCATATATAAACGAACACACACACACACACACACACACACACACACACACACACACACACAACCACCCTGGGTTTTATAATAAGTATAACTCGATAACAATAAGTATAACTTGATATGAGTTGTCCCCCTTTCATTCTCAAAACTGCGATGCCTGTTAATCATGTTTTCAAATTGATTTCGTGCAAAAACAATTGTTTTTCCAATTTTTGGCACTGTCAGAACCACCACAAGGTAATTTTACATAGTCCTGTGAAGTTTTGTTGAAATCGGTTGAAAAATGTAGGATATCCGATCCAATATATAAACGTACAGACACACACACACACA